CCCAAATATAACATATGTTACAGGTTTAAAAAGGTTAATAAAACGACGGTAGGAAAACAGAAAATACCGAATTTTTGGATTGCATTACGGCATACAGAACCGAAGGCAAAATACCGCGGTTCTACTAATACCGCGGCATACCGTTTCACCCCTAACGATGACATATGTCAAACAAGTCAGCGAGCACGACCACCCGATCCCGTTAGTCGCCTCTTACGACAGGCAAGGGTTGCTGAAGACTAATCCTAACCTGGATCTTCATATCATGAACTTCTTAATCCTACGCGCCTATTATATAACATCAGCCTGGCCTTCCGACACAACTAATGGGTTTATTTGATTATGAAAGAACAGATAAATTATGTACCTTCCTCATTCCTCCACGGTCGGCACACAATGGAGCTGGAATGTTTTATAGTAGTGTTAATATAAACGGCCATCTTTCACAGCAATATTCCCACCAATACAGAATCTATTCAGAATACAATATAATAAAATATGAAACAAGAATAAAACTGCATGTATATGTACAGCGGCCCGTTCAACAAAACAGTGTATGATTATTGTACCTATTGTGCAGGCTGGACATACGACAACGGAAGCGCAAAGGTCGCTTTGTTGAATTGAACCCAGATCCTCAGCATTCCATCCAATGTCATCATTGAATTGGTTCTCTGTGTCAAGCTCGTTGGCATCGTTGACTGTGCGTGAGTGGACCAAGTGTTTGACGTTGTGCATATCATTAACCACAGGTTTGGGCCCTGACTCGAGTATTTACAGGTACTATTGCTGTACTATCGCTGACTTACCACAGTGAGTGAGTGAGTTTGGTTTTACGCCGCTTTTAGCAATATTCCATCATGTGTATATACGACATATTGCCATGTTCCTGGATACTTGGAATGGCACCCTGTAGGCTTAAATGAGAGTCTATATGTGTTACGACTGGTTGACATAATGTGTATGTAATATATATTGCCATGTTCCTGGAGACTTGGGATGGCACCCTGTAGGCTTAAATGAGAGTCTGTGTTACGACATGTTGACATAATGTGTATATAATATATATTGCCATGTTCCTGGAGACTTGGGATGGCTCCCTGTAGGCTTAAATGAGAGTCTACATGTGTTACGACATGGTGACATAATGTGTATATAATATATTGCCATGTTCCTGGAGACTTGGGGGGCTTAAATGAGAGCCTAACTGTGCTACGACAATCGTGCAGATTAAAGAACATGAGTGATCCGAGACTAAACAAGGATATTTTCAAGTATGATAGAAATATTTCATCTCCCAGCTGAAAATACTGGAATTTTAAACTCCACCGTTTATTTTTCGAAAACAATCATCTATATTCACCAGATGAAGTTCCACTTTCAACAAGGGCAGTTATCGACAACATAAAACATGAATATTCACGTGATTAGTCATCGGATCGTAAATATCACAGGAAAATCCGCATTTATCGTAATCTTCAAAGAACCCGCAGTCAGCCAGACTACCCGGATCATAGACAAATAGACAATAGTTTATTTACGTCTCACATCTGTACATACAAATGATATTTACAAACATTCAAAAGAGTAAAATGGGCGGATCCATTCAAAAGAGAGTTATCAGAGACAAAAACATTATAAAAACATAAATATTATCAAAACATCATTAAGCATACAAAAGTGTTTTCCTTCTGTTGAGGATTAAAAAGTAGATTTTGACTAAAACGTAACAAAGATTAGGATTGTTGAATATAATACATAATTTATAGATATCAGGTTTATCTAAAAAATCTGGACATAAATGAACACAATCATTTTAAAGTACCACCCTGATATCGCAGACCCGTGAAGGTCCGGGTTAGAATATTGATCTTCAGTAACCCATGCTTGTCGTAAGAGGCGACTAACAGGATCGGGTGGTCAGGCTCGCTGGCTTGGTTGACACATGTCATCGGTTCCCAATTGCGCAGATCGATGCTGTTGCTGTTGATCAATGGATTGTCTGGTCTAGACTCGATTATTTACAGACTGCCGCCATATAGCTGGAATATTGCTGAGTGCGGCGTAAAACTAAACTCACTCACTCACTGATATCGCAGTGCCTTAATTATCCAAGTTCCGGTGTGGTGTTGCACCAATACCTCTGGAGAAACGTATGTGCCCCTTGTGTATGAACTCAGACTTGAAGACGAGATGCATGTATTGCTACAGTGTCCTGTGCAGGACGACCTTACATAAGAGTTACGCCACGAAGCCAGTGCCATATGCCCATATTTGTGTCTAGACAAAAGCCACCTAGGACTTAGGCCACCTAGGACAAATGCCACCTAGGATAAATGCCACCATGTTTCAAATAAAATTTATAAAACCACCAACACTATCATCATGTTTCTTTAAATTATGTTTCAGATGTAAATTTATTTAATGTACATACATACATGATATTTTCATTTACATACATACAAATACATACAAAATGACATACATATTTTGCATTACATACACATATTTTACATACATACATATACATAAGTATACATAACATTGCACATATTTTGTATGAAGTGGGACTATTGTAGACTTAACTTTATCTGATAGCATGCAGGGAATACATCATTGTTACATTACATACATATTCCCTAAGTCTACAGTACGTCTGGAAAAAATATACAAGGTCAGATATTGACAAGCTCTCAGCATCTTTTACCAACAATAATCTTTTGTTTAAATGTGCAAAAACCTGTTTCAACATTCTCAAGAAAGATAGGTATGTAGGTAATAACTAATTACTTATGTTTCATGTATTTTACCCATGTATTTTATGTGGTGAATATACCTTTTAAACTGGTACACAAGTCTCTCATAACTCTTACGGAGTAGCTCATGCATAATACAGTTTGTATTCCCATGTCTTTTTACATGTATGTATCTGAGGTGACATTCAAATAATTTATATCACAGTCTACATTTAGTGTGTCAATCGGTTAACTGTTTACATAGCGCGACATCCAACAGGGGTCGCTGATGATATACACTCAACAATCGTGATCAATAACCTTCATTCGGTGAATATGCTTTAATTACAGTGTTCGATGTGAGTAAGGTCATACACTTTCCTCCTCTCTACCGGTTGTTGTATTATGTTAGACACGGGAGACGCGCATTAGCAGTACTGACTGACTGATTGAGTTTGGTTTTACGCCGCTTTTAGCAATATTCCAGCAACATCACGGCGGGGGACACCAGAAATGGGCTTCACACGTTGTACCCATGTGGGGATTCGAACCCGGGTCTTCGGCGTGACGAGCCAACGCTTTAACCATTAGGCTACCACACCGCCCCCATGAGCAGTACCTGTCCACAAAATTAACAGTCGACAAACAAATGTGACAGACAGATATATTTTTGAGTCTCACCTTGAGCATACGATATTTACAGATAATGTATACAATGTATAAAAGGTACTACACATGCTATTCCTATGGGATTTATGAGAGACTTACACATACATGTATATGTTCAGATCATAGACCAATATAATACTGTTAAGAAGTAAGAGGCATATCATTTGTATAAAAAACACTTCCGTCGTTGAAGTATACTAAAACTGGTTTCGGCACACAATAAAATCAGTTCATTTTGACTAAGCTAAATTATGGCACTTGATTTTGTCAAACCTCAGGCTCGGTTGTAGCGACCTAAAGGCCGGTCCCATAAATATATCAGGCATTTAACAGACAGTCCATGTTGCTCTTGTGGATATCAGAGTGAAAACGCCTTACACTATTTTTTTACTTGCGGTAACTATATTCAGATAAGAACTAATATGTATTTTTATACTATCGGTTATAACCTGGATACCATTATGAACGGAAATAAAGAACTTACTCACTGTGAAAACCAGAAAATAGTTGAATCCGTCCACGATTTTATCATCAAGCCACAACGCTTTAAATTTTCACAGAAAAATAATTAACTTAACAATAACCTTCTCATAATTGGTCTATATTTCTACAAATGGCTTGTTAGACACTCTCTATTTATGTCTACTTGGATGATAGTGGTACTTGTATTTGATGTAATATGCACACATGTATTATTTATATGATAGTCACTATCGATGACGACACATGCTTCACTTAATTTTTGTATTATATGTTGAATGGGAGCGGTGTTGATATAAGCTGTAAAGCTTGTTCACCAATCCCAATTCATTTTTATGAATAAAAATGTGTTTAAACCACAATACCTCATCTTTAACACAATTATGTTGGCATATATATATAAGATACAGTCTATCATCAACTGCGAGATTTTCTTTCCTGTGTGATTAAAGAATAAAACAACCCTCAAGATGACAGCTTCTGGTATATTGCATTTTTCAGTGACGATCCTTACACCGTTATCAAGTTGGAGTGACAACAACAGGGTAACGAGTCTCACTTTCTGGAGACAAACATTTCGTGCAGATTACATTATTCTTGGATAGACGTGAAGAACAGGAAGTACATGAAAAGTACAGAAACTACTAGGAGTCTAAGAGAGAGTATAATAATCAATGAAAACAGTTTGGTATAAATATAATTAAAATACACACTATACAATGCATTATAGTACAAAACAAGCACACGTAAGCCAGATGTATATTAAGGATAACAAATAGCACACAGGCGATAACGCCAAATACACAATAAGCACTAACAATTGTAACAAACTGACTGGATACTATTTATGAAGATCTTTACTGGCAATTTATATGCATTACTTTATTCACGTGTGTCCACTCTTTGAAAATATATCTATGATTATAAATAATGAATGTGCCCTTACGGCCTTGGCATTGTTATGAATACTTGACGTGAAATGATTCGGCAATTGAAACACATTGCTGCATGTGGGGTTTCGTGTTGGATTGTTTGAAATGGATACAAACCTCCTCAACACCGTAAAAGGGAGGTAATTAATGGGCAGACAACTCATTGTTTATGTCGCCATCTTGCGGCTGCTCGGCGTGAATGGATTCGTGATTGGACAGTTAATGAGTTTGTTTGTGGTTTTGATCATAACTTCCATGGTTAATTTTTTGGTAAATCAAGATGGTGAGCACTGGCGAGTTTTACGCGGGGTTTCAGCTGTTTTATCCTCTCGTTAACTTGACGGGATTGCCGATCGACCAGGTTCGTATGACCACATTGCACATTTCAGTTTTGTGGGCTTTAGAAATGGGCTTGGTTCAGCGTTTGCGAATTTGTTTCATGTGTTTTGAAACAATATCGAAAACAATTAATTCTTCTTGGCGATATGTCTCATTTATTTCTTGAATGAAAGTTTCATCTTTTTAACAAAATTAATCTTCGCCAGTCTACCGTGTGTGCTGGATTTTTCCTCTGCAAGGAACGCAATATTGAAAACTGGTCGGTAGAATTTGTATACAGTCACATATACCGATATTGATTGTAGACTTGAGTGATATATATTAACCAGGTTAAAGTCCGAAGTAGATTTAGGTGACCTAGTTACTGTAAGTGTCACCATGGTCACGTCCGTGTCTTTTCACAGAGTTTGCATTTCAAGGTTACAAGTTCAAAGTATGATCGTCTTGATAGAGATATAATTCGTTTTATTTCTCAGAATCATGTTATACTGATACATATAGGTTATTTTTACAGTTCAGTGTTATACTTATAATACTTCATGTGACTATCATAGCCAGCTGATGACACAAATACTATTTTAGAAATCATTTCTTGGCATGTACATTAAATAATAAATGTTGGTATGCAGATGGTACTTATCAATATTTTTTGCATAAATAGCATAAAATTGGTCTGTTGAAATTTTACATCCATGCTAAATCCTCTTTCGTAAATTTTGATGTTAAGTTAGCAAAATTTATTGATAATACATGTACAGTGCAACTCCGCTTATGGGACCCCAGTTATCAGGAAACCTTGCATATTGGACCATACATATGTGAAGAAAAATAGATACTACAAATAAATGCTTAGCGCCAGACAGCCAATTACAAACTGTGGAAAATACACAGTATTGTGTCCCTCTTACCAGACAGCAACCATGCTTTAACAATGTTTGTTTTGCAATTCATCATCCCATATACAACATTGGGGATAGTGGAGGGTATATCATGTGATCTCAGTGTTAATCTATTCATGTCTTTACACATACTGGTTATGAAAAGTGTTCATCTGATGTCTGGACTTGTCCTTGTAATCTATCTTATTAATTTTATTCAAATTGTATTTCAATGAAGTCATGAGTGAGCGACCAAATCAGCACTATTCACACCCAAATCAGCACTATTCACACCCAAATCAAGCATATTACATTTATGGAAACCTTGAAATGAATGTTAGTACAAAATGGATAAAAATATTTGTTGACGCATGACAAGTATACCCCAACATAAGATTTACAGGATAGAAATAGCAGGGCCCAGGGAAGTCACAGTGTTGACTGATCAAGATTTACTACCAATCTAATATTGTCCAGCAGTAGCACTTAGTTGTACTAAAGTGTTACCATATAGTTAATATTATTTTATATGTATAGTGAAGAGTGTAGCTGAAATAACATAATGTTGGAATATGTTATTCCTGATACAGTGTGCGAAATTTACGCTGGTCCTGTGGTCCCTTGCTAGTAAACATTCATCAGGACCACTAAATGGTAAGTTTGCAGTGGTCCTGGTGGCCAGTGAATTTTGTATTGATAGTTTAGTAAATCTACGAATGTTATTTTGGACCAGTGAAGTACAGAAAAGACCACTAATTATTGTCCACTCACTAGTCCTGTGGTTTAGTGGGAAATGTTGAAAGGCTTCTTTCCCTGTGATGTTAAACCAGGTTCAAATCAATTCATTCCAACCATTGTGTCAAACTTCTTTTTTTCGTGTTATGTTATCGCATTTTGTAACTGAATTGGGATGAAACCTGTGAGTCTGATTGTATCGCTTAGTTTTGTCTCAAATTCCACATATATATTAACCCAGTGTGTTATCCCCAAACCCTTCATATGGACTTGATGAAGAGATATAATAATATAATAATTGTGTTATAATTTGTGTTATTTTATAATCATCATGCATATTGATCACATTGATAGTAAATATGGAAAAGAAAAGAATTAATTCGTAAAAGTTGTTGCCAAGATGAACTGCGTATATGTATGCTTGAAATAGTTAACATGGTTAAGTGACATCAGTGGAGGTCTTTTTGGAATGCTGCTTTAGTGGTTAATGATGGGGCAAACCACAGTCTATTGTTAAACTGGGGTTACGACAGCAGGGGACAAGGAACCCATTGTTTTCTGGACATGACATTGCTATGGAATACTGCACACTTTAGCTGGCAGTCCTCCTGATGCTGTAACAGGTTTGTACTGAAGTCTGTCACATAACCTTGATCACTGAGTAAACATTCCTGTCATTTATCATGTGTTTATTTGAAACTGGTTCTACATGTTGGTTGTGTACAGACATACTCGGTGGAGTCACTGTGCATGCTCAGGCACAGGAAACGAGCTTAGAAGTGATGAAATTATTACATAAGGTTGACATTTTCACCATGTTCACAGCCATCTTTAAACTGATCAGGGTTCAGAATTAAGAGGGGTCATTAGGCATGTTAAGTGTAATAGTTTGCTGTATGATGACTCACCTACTACCATGAGAACTGAGTTCTAGCCCTCAAATAGTACTAGTCAGTGAGGACTGCTGCATTTGAATTGTACCATTCTTAGCACAGGTTAGTAGTCTTGGGCTAGCATGAACTTAAAAGGCACTGTAAACATGCTAATTAACAGAGGCTTTTCTTTCTGCAAAAATTGCGATCATTTAATGTAGACACTTATATCTTAAAATTATTCTACCAAACATTCATTAATAGTATTTTAACTTTCATGCCTGGTGTGGCAATCTTCCTCTTACACAGAAAAACAAACTTGACAAAGTTGTAAACATATCCAGCAAAATTTGCGGCTTCAATTTCGAACCTCTACCTTTTCAGTATGAGTCAAAAGTTTAGAAGAAAGCTCTGGCCATTCAATCAGATCCATCACATTTTTAAATGAATGTTATGCACTTCTGCCTTCTGGCCGCTGTTTCAAAATCATGTACAATGTATTACAAATCATTTGTACCATACAACATAAAACTTCTAAATCTTCCTCCAAAATTGTAATAGTGAAATCTATGATGAGGCACAAGTGATTATTATATCATGAACTTTGATTATGTTATAGTTCAACATTATATTCTGATTAGCTTGGCATTGTGTATATATACTTTAAATTATTTGTTGTTATATGATTGTATTGGCTCTTTGAATGCAAGACAAATTTCCCTTGCGGGACAATAAAGTTTATCTTATCTTACTATCATGATTTAGTACCCAAATCTGGGTAACTGTGATCTCCACAGGACATATTAACAGTGACGTATTTCAAGTTTAGATATATCAGTGTTTCTAAGTTACGAGGGTGGGTGGGGTAGCCTAGTGATTAAAGTGTTTGTGTTCACCAAAGACTCGGGTTGGAATTCCCACATTGGTACAATGTGTGAAACCCATTTCTGCTGTATCCCTGCCATGATATTGCGGAGAAATTGCTAAAATTAGCATAAAACCCAACTCATTCAAATTTTGATTGCTTGCCTAATCCTTGTCCTCATCACCAATCAGTTAAATTTATTGTGATCAAATACACATATTCTGTTTGTTGTTGAACAGGATGCTCTATAATGGGCTTCTTATCGTAGTTCCCTGTGTAGATTCCAGGTTAGAAGAGATCACTAGTAGCCTTCACTGATCTGAAAGGCAACCAATCATATCAGATGGTAAGGCCCTGTGACTAGCTTCGTTGCATGTCATGTAACCCAATGACATACATTGATGCTCACAATATCAACCACTGGATTGTTTGGACAATGTTTAACTACATGCTATCAAATAGCTTGAATACGGTTGAACCAGCATAATGTGGCATTAACATGCAAAAACAATACAAGCAAACGGTATTACCTTGGTTTTAGACTTTGTATATCAGAGATAATCTGCATAGATGATGTTTGACATCTGACCTGATAGTGTTAACATTGTTAGTTTGGGAGTACAGACCGGTCAGATATTAGGATTATACCAGTGAGTGTGTGTGTGATAAGCACAATAAACACCTGTCATATCTGTGTGACACTCTGATCCAGGATGGAAGACTGTTAGAGGCTGGAGTAAATACAGTTTGATGATAAACATTATGAACACTTTGATATGGAGAAATCTGTTGATACCTATAGTAGAAGTAACAGGTCCTTAAGCATGTATCGAGAATCAGTCGACCATTGTCATGAAGCAGCTGAGAAGTATACATTATGCAGAAGTACAGATAAGCTGCGTTTCTGCGTAAATTACGCAAATATTTATTCGAAAACTCAATTCCTATTATGTATATTGCATACAAGTATGCTTCAATTTTTGTAAATACTCAATAAATTGATCTTACATGCGTACAAACAAAATAGATAAAATAACTGAGGTATATTGAGAGGTTCTGTTTCAGCACATGAACTTGGCAACTTGCAGTCTTTCTGATTGTTTGTCATATTACAGATCAAATATAAATACCAAACACGTAAACCAACGTTTATACTTGATTATATTTTTACATTTAATGGAAAATGGCAAAATACCCAATTGAGTTTGAGGGCAGTGGGTGCAATTTATTTGGTAATCAAAGCAAAATTAGGATACCCAATTGAGAAGAACACAAACGAGTACATAACTCAATGACTCAAAAGTTATATGTAGCTCTGATTATGATTAGGGCTTGTTATCATTATAAATATTGGAGAACTAACTTTGAGCTAAAATGCCAAAGATATTTGATAGAGATGAACATGTTTCACATCATTGGTGAGTGACATATTGGTATTTAATCTTGGGTTACTAACAAAACACCAACCTGAACATAATGTAGAAACACTCGGGGAATAAAGACCTAAGTTTGTGTTAGTGGTGGTCCGATTAATTGAAATAATCGAAGATTGGTCGCAATGACAAAATGACCAAGCAATCGATCATGTTTTCTCATAATCGAACACAAGCAATTTTGGAACACTTGCATTTCGTGCAATTTGCAAAAATCTGAAAGAACTACATGTTTTGTC